CGAATCCTTACCGATCCTGCAGGTCCTTGTAAGGACCGGTTAGGATTCGGTCCCAAAAGACCGATTAACATCCCTAACGTACGTACGTAGGTAGTTATGTTAGTACAATTTAGGCAAGAAGTATTGTAGTACAAACGAAATGAAATATTTGATTATTCCGCCGTACATGTAAAGTTGAAATTTTTGAATATTTTGGACAAAAGAAATTATTTAGTTATTCCGCCGTACATGTAAAGTTGGAATTTTAGGGATTTTTAGAAGAAAGAAATGATTTGGTTATTCCGCCGTACATTTAAAGTTGGAATTTGAATGAAGGAAATTGTTTAATTATTCCGCCGTACATGTGAAGTTGGTGTAGTTACAGCGCAACCATGTTACTCAAACTTTTCGGCAAATGCAGTATAAGACGAGTACTGTATTTTCGGACGCTCGCGTTATTTCGAAATTGATCTTGGTGTAATTAAAGCATAATTTGAAATTATACACAAAGCTTACCGAGCGTTACTACAGTATCTCACATGATTGAAACACTTAGATCTGACTCGGGTTTTGCCAGATCCGTAGATCACGTCGAGAATTGCCAGTTCTATTTTTTGTCATGCTACGTAGCGCTAGTAAGTTAGTTTGGTTCTAATATATTACGGAATATCTATATAGATCTGAACTGTATGACAGAGCACCCGATATAATTTGTTTGGTTAGCACCGATTAATACCGAAATAATTCAAAAACATTGCAACATTTAAATGTTACAATTTTTAACATACGTATAAATAATAAATTATTTTACGTGTTTGGTAGTAAAGAAAATCGATCTTTCTAATCAGCACGCTATCATACAGTATGTAAGTTACTGCGGATGTTCCTAATTCGATGCAGTGATAAAGTTCTGTTTTTGATGCATCTTTAGTACATGTTTTTATGTCATGGAAACTATGGTAAGCCCGAAGAAACAAATCAGTCCTTGTGCTGTATTTAAAATGAGTAATTTAATACTTATATTAGAAAGATTGTATGTATTTGGGATAGCATACTGTATATAAAATATATGCTATTTACAAAATATGCTATTTTATAATTGCATTTACTGTTGGCCACTGCCTTAAGTCCAATATCTCTTTTATTATCCTAACCTTCGGCCTATTTAGGCCCAAATCCGTAGTTTCGTAGTTTCATATGTCCAAATAACAACGCTGCTGCATACAGTATTGTCCCATGTTAAAACCATCTATATTGATTTATTACTTTTTATATACCAAATATACAGTAAGTTAGTATGCAGTTCTTCACACAGCATACACGGTATTTAATATAAAAAACCAAAACAAAGTTTTGAATAAGACTCTGGTACATATTTTACATCAAGCTAGTACATACATAGTATAGATGCGACTGTGTTTATACTAAACCAAAGTATTTACTTAAAAGACAGCTTATATTACAATGGATGAAATATATGTATAAAACTTTATTTAATGATTTGAACCGTTTTTAACCGCATAAAACTTCTGCTTCGAATAATGTTTAGATTTTAAGATCCAATTTTTGCTAATATATACCATTTAATTTACAATTTTTCTATAATAAACTGCTTTACTATTAAAACAAACATTATTCAAATTATAATATTAAAACTTTACAATAGAGCCTTCCATTTACAAATTGATTTAATTACTCATTTAACTTGTAACAATGTTTATGGCTATTCGTTAGCATTATTCGTTAGCATTTTAAGTACATACACAATATATATCATGTTATTTTTTTTTCTTGCCCTTTATTACCTTCTTAGATTTTATGACAAAAGAGTCATCATCTTCATCCTTTGCATCATCTTTTCGCTTTCTATCTTCTTCTAATAAAACTTCTTTCATAACAATAACAAAAGTCCTTGGCTTTTTTTCTAAAATTTCTTCATTACCTTTTTTACTAACACCTTCCTTAAATCCCAAAGTTCTCCGATGTTCATATCCTGGATAAATATTTGGATCAAATTCAAAACTTTCTTTAATTCCAAGACTTTCTATTGATTTAACTAATTTACGAATATTCCAATGATCATAAGGCACTCCTGTTTTCATTGTTATATGAATTTCTCCATCTTTACTATCAGAATAAAGTTTACGAGAAGTAAGGAAATTTAAAGAGGATGTGAGAAAAGAATGAATTAAAAGTTGATTTGCGATAATATTACGATCTTGATCTTTTATTCCTAAACCTAATTAATAAATTTAATATTAAATTTATTTAAAAATATTATTAACAAAGATTTTTTTATAAATAAAATTACCTGTATGAGGAAAATTAAAAACAATTTTATCAAATCTTTTATTTTTTAATTCTTTACAATTTTCAAGTTTTGTTGCATCAACTTTGTATAAAACTTGACCACCACATTCAGTAAATATATCTATATTTGATTGTGCATCATCATATTTCTTTGTCATTATTTCTTTGGTATCATATGATGTTGCAATTATCTTATGACCTGTATGAAGAATCGATTCCGCTAAAGTACGAGCAAAACTAAAGTTTCCTATTTAATTTATAATTTTTTAAAAAATTGAAATAATGTGAATTAAAAGATATTAATTGAAATGTATGAAAATGAGTTAATAATAGTTAGAACCTTCTCCAACTAATAAAATATAATCATCAGGATGATAGGGTGGTGGTTTAATTTGTTTTCTCACATTTGATGAAGGTTTTAGCTTTGTATACGGGTGTAAAGTTCGTGATGTGGCAGTTACTTTATCCCTATATTTTTTTTCTTGTTGAAGTTTTATTAGTAAAGTTTTTAATTTTGCTTTTGCTTTCGGCATTTTTTTTTTGAGATGATGAATTTTTTTTTTTTTTACAATTGCAATAGTTTGTCGTACATTTATCGCTATTAGATTAACCAGTAAAAATTATGATTTTCATGTGCTTATTTTAGAAAGATGTTACTGGTCATCGTTATGTACCGTATTTCAGTACTTCTTTAATTTCTGACTGTTTATGAATGTTTAGATTACAGAATTTTTTTTTTTTTAAAAAAAAATACATTAAAGAATAGAGAAAAAAAACAAAAAACAAAAGATAAAAACATTGATTCTATGTATAAAATGCAATATAAACCATGCATTAAAAAGAAAGATTTAAAAAGAAAGGTATTCGAAGTTATATTGGGAGTGGGAAACTTTCAACAATTAATACAAAAAAAAAAAAAAACAAACCAAGACAAACATTAATTATATTAAATAATTAGTCTAATAAAACCATCTCATTTAAATTACTTATTAAACTATTAAATGATCATTTACAATTTAAAACCTCCTTCTACTTACAAAAACCATCCACCAATACTCAACCAAATTACAAGATTTATCCATCCGTAATTATTGTTAACTCTAATACTTCCTGTATTAGATGATACACTGGAACTAGTAGGTTGTGATGTGTTGAGTGAACTGGTGGGGGAGGTCGGGTTCAATGACTTTGTTGTTTGATTTTTTGTAGCATGATCTATTGGTGACGGTTTTTCAGGGTCTGGATGACTAGGCGTTGCATAACTAAAATATTAGGTAAGATTGCGTCAATATTAAAAATTACATATCGTAAAAATTATGTACATGCAAGTAATTATAATTACCCTATAGTTTCGAGTAAATATAATAATTTTGGTCCAATTATGCAAGTTGCATAGTTTTCTTGCAAAGCAGTTTCAAAAGATCGACCAGGATGTTGCAGATAAGTCATTAAAAAATCTGTTGTATTATCATAAATTGCCATGCTAAAATGAGATATACTGCTTCCTTTCGAATATGGAAATACACTAGTTTCCAACCATATAAGTTCAGAATGAGGGTTTGCTAAAAACACCATAGAATTTGTTGTCTGTGAATAGTTTAACACCGATTGAGCGATAGCATATTGTGGTGAATTAATAAATGCGTTTATAAATGCGGTTTGATCTTGGAATTTTGTTCCATATGGAGTAAATTTATTCAATTGCTCGGTAAAATTTGAAAATTTATTTCCTTCAGACGTTACTAAAAATTGATCAAATATCGTTTCAATAAATCCATAATATATTAAAGGTTGCGTTGGATCAGTATCGCTTGTTGTTAGATTTAATCTTGGAGTTAATTCTGTGGTTACATTAGAATTTAAAAGAGGTTTCCAATTTGTCACAAGTCCAAGACCATGGACAATTTCGTGTGTTATTAATTCTAGGAATCCTATCTGTTCGGAATTGATTGTTGTATCGTTCTCAAAATAAAACTCTGATTCAGAATTAAATACTGCAAGAATATCACTGCTAGAATATTCTGGATGTGTAGGGAGTTGAAATTGCTTGACTAAAGACTGTGGAAAGTTTCGAATTTTATGATCCTTGCATTTTAATGGAATTAGTCGTGCTGGTGCAGCTGATCCTAAATATCAAAAAAAAGATTTGTTAACTAACTAAACTAAGTTAAATTATTAACGAAATTTAACAAATTTGACGGAATAATTATATACCCAAAACTGTTTTATCAGCCAATGGTATTAAGCTAGCATTTATTCTTATTGGGGTATTTAGTATTAAAACGCTGGAAAATATTTCTCCTGCCCTCACAAATGAGTTTTTTGCTTTATCACAAGTTGTTTGATTAGCATTAGGATCACAAGTGAATATTATTTCAAACATGTTAGTTGAATTATCCGGTTTTACTCCAACATCATGAAATGTATTTGAATTTGTTTCAGTCACGGCAGGGCACCTAACTGGCGTTCTATTGTCCGAATCTAGAGGGTCATTTGTGTCATAACACCATGTTTCTGCCGAAACAATAATGTCTCTACTCCAGGTTAGGAATATAATTAAAGATATAATGTATAGTATAGATGTCATTCCTTTTTTTTTTTTTTTTTTTTTTTTCTTTTTATTTTGTTAAAAAAAAATTGCGGAATTAAACATAATAACTTGCTTATAAAATGAAGGTTAGAAATTTTTATTGTAGGTTAGATGAAGGGAGGTTATAAGTCGTTGAAAAGAAAGTAAAAAAATATATCGTATATAATTGTTGAAAGAAGGAAGTGTGTTAAAAAATGCATCGAATTACGAGACAACGTGCCTTTTAACATAGCAATTTGTTTAATTAAATTGTACTACAAAACTTTGCGAGAAGTAATTTAAGCGATTTTCCTTTTTAGGATAACCTTGTCTCTGTTAATTAGGTATTCTAAAATGGGGATTAAACTCGTCAGTTGTGTTACCTATTTTTAGAATGATATTATTTAAATATATATTAAAAATAAGTTGCGTAATGCGTGTCACATTAGGATGTAAGAAACTGTACGTGCCTTGTTAATGGAATGTCCAATATTATGGTGTGATGAAATATTATATTTCTGCATTTTTTTGAATCACTTACCTATGATACTCCTATGATCTACAAACATATGGCAAGGTTAATTAGCAAATCAAAAATTATTATTATTTTTAATATGATCATTAAAGCAAGCTATTATTTATACAGTAATAAAATTTTTAATTTAAAATTTCACAAAGCTGTCCTACGAAAACACTTAAGCACGAACATAAATTGTTCATCCCTAAGATATTACGCGATATCTAGTTTTGAGTACAAAGTAACTACCATTTGATCGGGAAATCAAACATGGTAGATCATATAACAGTAGTTTTTATTAATTTACTTGTACTATACTTTTGAGGTGTGGACACTTTTTAAAATTCAATTTTATTTTAATATGCAGAAAAACTTTGTAATTCTGGGCATACATAAGTATTATGTGTTACGCACTAATTATAGAACCAATTACCAATATTCGCACTGCATATTTCGCAGATAAGGTTTTATAACATCATTTTTTTGAATAATCAAGGCATTTTTTTTTTTTTCAAGCCATTTTTTTAGGAATTATAATTTAATAGATAGCTTTTTTAGTTTCAAGAAATATTACAATTCGGGTATTGAGAAATTTTATCTTTATTTAAATCCAATTTTATGAATTTTTTATGGAATACTGTATAATGGTATCAAAATCTAAAAAATAATGCAAAGAGAAACGGTTTCTCTTGGTATCCTTGATATTACTCATTTTCTCTTTTTTAAATCCGATGCCAATATTTTAGTGTCACATACAAATTCGTAGAATTGGATCTTGTAAATTCAAAAGATTTAAATAAACAAATCTGCCGAACTGAATTAACGGTAGAACATAGTAAATTTTACATACATAACTATGAAAACGTTGCATAAGTGATGTATAAAGGTTACATTATTTAATAAAGTGAACAATATTTATTTTCTCATATCAAATAATTATTAAATTATACAGGGTGTTCAACACCAGGTTGCTATATTTCAAAAACTAAGTAATTAAAGTTAGATGTTCTAAATAAAATGGTTAGAACCTAAAACCCTATGCTAACAAAAATTTGACATTTATCTAATCCTTATCTGATCTATAACTGTATAACAGCACCATAACACTAAATTTTAATAGTAAAATTATTATAAAAATAGAAGTAGATACTTATAGCCCCGGTATAAATACGTACAATTGGTTCTACCACAGAATCCCGACATCCAAAGTCCCGACACTCAAAATCCCGAAAATCAAAATCCGAAAGTACCAAAATCCAGACCCACCTAGTATCGCCACCAAGATCATGTACTTGAATTTATTTGTCAACATTAAAATTAATGTTGAGTACAGTAATGACCACACATTTGATTAATAATAATAACGGAATAATAATAACTATTTACGTTGAATTTTTTTCTTTAATATTGTAAAATGGAAAATCCAAAATTTTGTTCATCTTGTCAAATTATAAAACCCATTATTGCATTTCAAAGTAATCAAAAAACATGCTTTGAGCGTTCAAACTGCATAAATTAAAGCCGAAAAAGAAGACGTGAAGAACAAATTTTAAATGATATTTGTAAGCAAAAAGAAAATGCCATAAAATTCGAAGAGATTAAACATGGATATTGAAAGAGAATGCAAAACAGTATGCATATAAACCTTGATATAGTAGTGGATATTTCTCGAATGATTAATAAATTATTAGCACTTGAGATCGTAAAGATCTGTGAAAAAAGAGATGTTTATTCATTCATATGTTACCATAAAAAATATGATAATAAACTTATCTATTGGTGTAATTGTCTCTAAAAAAGAATGGAAAAAAAAAAAACAATGAAAGTAAACAAAGCAATAGAGAACCAATAATTGAATATTATGACTGCAAAGAAACCATTATTAAGAAATTGAGTATTGATTATAGTGACAAATTTAAAATTTTAAGAAAGCACTGAAAAACTCTTCATGAGGTATGGTACAGAACATCTAATCACATCATAGCACTGAATTTTGATATATATATATAAATATATAGTACAGTCGACTCTGGATATAACGAACCTTTTTATAACGAACACACTATATAATGAACTTTTTTTTTCAAATTT